CAACGGTCTCTACCATACACGCTATTTCCAAAGTTGTTTTGTCAGCTGCTGGAAGTCGAACATGTCTAACTTCAGTACTGTCAGCGTGCAGGACCTTGGGACCGTTTGGAGAGGTCTTAATTAAGGCCGCCCACTATCCTCTGACTCAGCCTCAGGCACGCCGCCAGAATACTAAGATCACCACTCCATCGCGCGAACAAACACCGCGTCGGCCCCGCGTCTGCGAAAAAAGGCGGATCCAGATAGACACGCAAGATCCACGTGAAGCGATTAGATAGGTAGGTAATCTTAGAACATCCGCATGCCCGCGCCGCCACGCCCGAGCGGTCAACGGCATGCGCAACTTTTCCCAAAACCCTTGCATACAACAGGATGACATGTACGTGCCGTGCATACGGGAAAGTCATCTCCCTGACAGCAAACCCGTGCGGCATGCGTGCGCAGCTGCACGCAAGGCAAGCCAGCCAGGACCTGATCGACGCGCCACGCGCATTTAGCGGTAGATCAACCACGGCACCGGATCTGATGGAATTTCACCACCTTCGCCTCTGTCACCGCAGTCCGAGAAGACCATTTCTCCGAGCGCTTGAAAGACGCATAAAGAGCGCGTAGGAAGGGATAATCCCACTTCTAATAACACATCATACAATCGCGCGTTATCTGACACGTAACTTGCTGAGACAAGGGGGGTTGCATACCTGCAACTCCAACTGTTAGTGGCGCCCGGGAGCTGATACATCCGGAGCTCGACAGCTCCATCTTGGAACGAAGCTTAGCCTGGCTTGCCAGCCAATGCGGGACAGGCTGTGTCTCCATCCGTCTGCAATTTGCAGCTACCTATGCCCGTTAAGGTAATGTGGGTGGCTGATTCTGGGACGGATTCGGTATCCTGGAGTGCAGTTGTGTGGGTTGGGATGATGGGTCCTGCTGCACGGCGCATTTTTGCTGTGTGTTGCGGCCAGAGAGGGCGCGTTCGGCGGCCGAACGTAGGGAATGGGTCGTAGAGATCCCGCGCCGCAAATTTGCCTTGCGGGTGGATGTGTGGAGAGGGAGATTGTGTGTTTGTTTGCTGTTATAGATCGTTATCTTTTGTCCTCACGTTGAAGTCGCGCATACGTTCGTTCGTCGTTGTCTTTCGCTGTACATTCCCCGAATACCACGCTACCCAAAGGTTCCGCGCCGTCCGCTTTCGGAACCGCCACGCTAGAAGCACATCGTCATGTCTGAGGTCAGGATAGACACCGACAGCGCGTTCGACGTGCAAACACCATTGCTCGAGAAGAAAAAGATGGTTGTAGGAGTACCGCCGGTGTTTGAGAGCCTCACGAAGCAGCTCGACAAGATTGTAGAGCAGCCACTACTCGGCCCGAAGACCAAGTTCCCCGCAGGTAGGAAACCTACTGTGTTCTGGTGGCGAATGTAAATTGACCAGCTGGATAGCTACATTTGCGTTTGCGCGTAAAGATGTGTCAGGCAGGCGGCTACCGCAGGCTATTGCCCATCGAGGGTACATGGCCAAGCACCCCGAGAACACTATGGCCTCGTTAAGAGGAGCAGTCGAAGCAGGCGCAGATGCTCTTGAGACAGACATACATCTGACGAAGGATGGTGTAGTCGTGTTGTCGCATGTGAGTTGATCAAAACTTACCCCGATCGTATACTGACTCTTCTGTAGGATAGGAACTTGAGAAGATGCTTTGGCAGGCCCGAAAAAGTTATAGATTGCGACTATGAGTTTATAAGCAAGCTGAGAACGCTGCAAGCACCTCACGAGCCGATGCCTCGTCTTATTGATTTGCTCGAATATCTTGCGCAACCTGGGTTGGAAGACATTTGGGTTTTGCTCGATATCAAGGTATGTTGTGCTAGCCGAGTTGTACAAGCACTTGCTGACGCGATACAGCTCGATAACGATGCCGACGATGTGATGCGCTTGATTGGTGAAACAATCAACAGCGTGCCTGCTGCTCCATCCAGACCGTGGAGCAAGCGCATTGTGCTTGGGTGCTGGGCAGCCAAATTTCTTCCGCTATGTTCGCGATATCTGCCCGGCTTCTCGATTTCGCATATTGGCTTCTCAACACTCATTGCGTCACATTTCTTCAGTGTGCCGAATGTCTCGTCCAATATGGCCCAGGCCATTCTCATGACGCCATGGGGCAGGATGTTCATACGGCGAGCTCAGAGCGACGGTCGGCCCGTGTACGGATGGACGGTGAACTCGGAGAGCCGGATGCGTTGGGACATACGGCAGGGCCTTGACGGCGTCGTGACGGACGACCCGAAGCTATTTCTGGAGATTCGGAGGTCATGGCACGAGGGAACCAAGGACGGCGTGACGCTGCTGATGTGGCTGGACGTGCTGCGGTATAACTTCTTCTGCTTGATCTATACCTTCTTGTTCCAGTGTTATTTTGGGTTCCAGGGCAAGTCGTTAGTCAGGATAAGGGAAGAAGAGGAGGAGCAATAGACTAAGTACGCGAATATCAAGAACAACATTCAGAAGATGTAGCACGCTAACCTTAGAAAAAACTGAACAGCCTAGAGTCTACGTTGACGTTAGATTATCTACTTTGCAAGGTTTTAGCTTAATGTAGCCTGCAGACCTGTTCAGTTTTTTTCTTGTATGAGGTGATAGTGTCGTCGTGAGAGTGGCGAGTATCTGGATTGGCATGGTGAAGTGAAGGCCATGGTGTTGGGTGGTATTGCGTGGAGAGCTATGACGGCAGGGTCCAAACATTTGGCGACCCGACGCGTGCACCCCGCCCAGAGCGCGTTCGCAGCCCACCACGTCGCTGACCACCACCACCATGCCCAGGTACGCGCGCGTATATCTCAGACTGCGGTCACATGGTGTAGCTAATCGGTATCAGAGAAATAATAACACTGCAGGCGGGCCAGTGCGGCAACAGCGTCGGGCAGCAGTTCTGGCAGCAGCTGTGCCAGGAACACGGCATCAACCGCGACGGCAACCTCGAGGACTTTGCGACCGAGGGCGGCGACCGCAAAGACGTATTCTTCTACCAGTCCGACGACACCCGCTACATCCCCCGCGCCATTCTTTTAGATCTCGAGCCCAGAGTGCTGCACTCGATCCAGTCGAGCGCCTACAAGAACATCTACAACCCCGAAAACTTCTACATACACAAGGATGGCACCGGCGCCGGCAACAACTGGGGCATGGGCTACAGCATGGGCGAGCAGGTGCACGAGGACATCCTGGACATGATTGACCGCGAAGCAGACGGCTCCGACTCGCTCGAGGGCTTCATGATGCTGCACTCCATCGCTGGCGGCACGGGATCCGGTCTCGGCTCCTACATGCTCGAACGCCTCAACGACAGGTTCCCCAAGAAGCTCATCCAGACGTACAGTGTCTTCCCCAACACGCAGGACGGCGACATAGTGGTCCAGCCATACAACAGTCTGCTGAGCATGAGAAGGCTGACGCAGAATGCAGACTCCGTGGTAAGCTGCCCAGTGGTACTTGCATATATTCACACTGACCTCCCAGGTTGTCCTCGACAACGGAGCCTTGACTAGGATTGCTGCAGACCGACTGCACGTTATGAACCCGTCGTTCGAGCAGACCAACCAGCTGGTGTCCACCGTCATGTCCGCCAGTACCACGACCCTTCGCTACCCCGGATACATGCACAACGATCTTGTTGGCATCGTCGCATCGCTCATTCCCACGCCGCGCTGTCACTTCCTTATGACTTCATACACCCCCTTCTCTGGCGAGAACGTAGAGCAGGCCAAGACAGTTCGCAAGACAACCGTCCTGGACGTCATGAGACGACTGTTGCAGCCTAAGAACCGCATGGTCTCCACTAACCCCACCAAGAAGAGCTGCTACATGTCTATCCTGAACATCATCCAGGGAGAAGCGGATCCTTCAGATGTATGTTCCTTCCTGTTGACCGCTTGAATCTAGCTCACTGACTATTCAGGTACACAAATCGCTTATGCGCATTCGCGAACGACGTCTCGCTACCTTTATACCCTGGGGCCCCGCCTCCATACAAGTTGCGCTGACCAAGAAGTCGCCCTACGTGACCTCCTCGCACCGCGTCTCCGGACTCATGCTCGCAAATCACACGGGTATCGCCACGCTCTTCAAGCGCATAGTCGCACAATACTCCACCCTCCGTAAACGCAACGCCTTCCTTGAAAGCTACAAGCGTGAAGTGCCCTTCAAGGATGGTCTCGGCGAGTTCGACGAAGCTAAGGAAGTCGTTCAGGGTCTGATTGCAGAATACGAAGAGGCCGAGGATGCCGACTACTTGACCAAAGAGACGGCGCCGCCTGCGGATGAGGAAGCTGACAAGAGAGTCGGCTAGAAGTCACCTGAGCAACTATTGGATTTGGCATCGGCGTCATTGGATGGTGCAGTGGAGTCAAGGGTACCCGACTTTCAAGTCTATTTCGCGGCGTTGGCGGACATGCAACGTAGGCTACAGACCTACCGTGATTCTGAAATTTATCATCTTCCACATTCTTCGAATCGTCGTACCGATTGTGGTCATCATGGTGGAAGATATCACGGCTCTTGCTAGTTCTGTAAGGGCGGACTGATTTGAAGAGAACGCCAGGAGTTTGTATGGTAACGAGCGCAAGATAATCGATCCATCGAGGTCTACCACGGATCGCTAATTCAAGAAACCAATCCACTGACTGTGTGGTTGTAGGCATGTAGCAGATTCACCGTGGTACCGTGACTGGAACGCTGTGGTGTTGTCATTCTCTTGCATTTCTATTGCTGACCCAAATCACTTCAATGGAAATAACCACAGGTCAGTGCGTTGGAATCCACAAGTGAACAGCAAGGCTTCACTTCTATACGTATAAAGTGTACGCAGTCCTCTCCGCATAAAATACGTCGTAGTAAGTCAACTGTGCCTACTCGCCTACGACTACACTCACTACCAAATCAACCAACCACAGAAATACACAACACCCCGTAGGAACAGCCCAAAACACCAAAGCTTTCCCCCAAAATGTTCGCGTTAAGCATCCGCTCCATCACCAACTCCAGAGTCGTTGGCCCCCTAGCCATCTTCGCCCTCTCCACGCAAACCCGCACCCTTTACTTCTGCGGCCCCAAGCAAGGCGATCACGATGCGGACCTACCCATCTCTGAACACTACCACGCGCGTCTACGAGCATCGGATCTAAAACCAAAATCCACCGCAGACTCGGCACCGACCACTACGCCCACCCGTCCTACTACTCCACCACCCACTCAGCCTACCACTACAACAGACACAATACCCACCCTTCGTATCTCCGTCACGCACGCGCCACCAAACCTATCAGCCCGGCATACAATGCCGTCTGCCAACAAGCACGAGATCGAGAATTTTAGGAAGGCGTTTGGGCAGATGGAGACAGCTACACACGATGGGGCCACGGACTACAACAACACCCTTGCCGTTATCCAGGAGATTGCAAGGCTGCAGTTTGAGCTGAGGAGGGGCCAGGTGGAGGGTAAGCCTTTTGAGGAGCTGGAGAAGATTAGGGGGGAGATTGAGGATTTGAGGGGGGTGTTTGAGAGGATTGGGAGGAGGTGGGGTATCTAGGCTTGGGGAATGTAGGGCGCTGCTGGAGATTGTGGATATGTGTCGTTCTACAAAGATTGATCGTGCAGTAGCTTGGAGGGAGTCTTGAGATCACCATGAAAGTCATATCCGAACAGAAATGAACGTTCTTCGAAACTAAACCAGAATGCAAAACGATGAGTGGTATACAGCACATTTCCCACCTCCTCCCAGCGCAAGAAACAACGCCTCTCCAAGCCTCACTTCTCCTCACATCTCCATTCAACAATCATACATCCCCCTCACGCCCCATCCTTATACCCCAACCCCCCAGCCTTAACATCAAACTCAATCAACTCATCCAACCCACAAACCTGAAACAACTCCCTCGGGCCATACCTCTTCCCATCCCCCTCCACACTCTCCACATGCCCCGCCTTCATCTGCTGCACCGCCCTCCTAACCGCGGGATACACAACCTCGCAGGCCAGCAGCGGGAAAATAGCAAGTTTATACCCCATGGCCTTGCATTCTTCGACTGAGAAATCAGGGGATACGCCGCCGGGGACACTGTTGAAGAGACAAGGTGTGGGAGCTAGGTCTGAGCATATGCGCTGCGCGTCTGAGGCGGTTGTCACGCCTTCCAGGAACGCCATGTCTGCGCCTTGAGCGACTGCCGCACGGAGACGTCGGAGGGCTTCTTCGTACCCGAATCCTTGCAACGCGTCCGTTCGAGCGATGATGACGATGTCACCGCCACTTGCCTCCCGCGCTAACCTCGCAGCCCGGATCCTCGCTTCAAACTCCTCGATGTCGACGAGTTGCTTGCCGTTTAGGTGCCCGCACCGCTTACTCACGATTTGGTCTTCGAGGTGCAGGCCGGCGACGCCCGCGCGGATGTACGAGGTTACTGTGCGGCCGACCATGACGGGCCCGCCGTAGCCGGTGTCTGCGTCGGCGATTAGGGGCGTCGAGGGCGAGAGGGAGGCGAGCATGCTGGCGTTGGTGAGCATGTCTGTGAAGGTGGCTATGCCCATGTCGGCCGCGCCGAGGCGGGACATTGTTGTTCCTGCGCCTGTCTGGACATGTGTTAGTTGGGTTGGTTTGGTGTTGTTTGATATCGTGGGGGGGATGTTGGTGGATATGGAGATGGGGAGATGGGGGAGACGAACCATGTATAGACAGTCTACGCCTTCTTGGAGAGCTATCCGCGCTGTGAAGCCATCGTATACGCCGGGACAGGATAGGAACTTGTTTGGATCCGCCAGCATGCTTCGCAGTTTCTCGACGGCCGTCGTCTTCCTTTCTGTTTGTCCTGCTTTGCTGGATCCCATATTGCCTTGTGTTCTTTCGCTTTGATAATGCCGATAACAACAATAACCCGACTCTTTACTATATACGCGCAACCAACTCTTTCTTAATACCAAAAGCAGCAGATTCAATCAATTCAAGGGGTATAGTGTCCTCGTCAGGCATCAAAACGAGCAAGAAGGTACACCCGACAGCCTGACTTTAGCCCGCTGAGACTCGGCGTCTTGCGCATACACTGTGGCGGGCCGCAACAAGTAAGGCTGGGCTACCCACGAATAGTCGACCAGATGCGGAAGCGATGGCCTTACGTACCCGTCCTGCGAACTAGGATGCTGTCAACCCGAAAAGCGACCGCGGATTTGGGAACAGTATCTAATCATTGCCAACCAACCGGACCTAACTCCTACAACCTTTATATAGAAAATCTAATAGCTAATCTCGAAATAAGCATGAAAGGGTAATAAGATAGTAACCACACCACTTCTTTTCAGTTGAGAACGAGGCTACGCCGCAGATAGGCAGACCCGGGTGTGCCCTCCGCCCGTCTTTCTCGGCCAAGTACTCCGTAGCCATCTGTATTGATCAAAGATCTTCTTTTTTGCGATGGCGAAAGCGAAAACACTTTCTCGGATGAACATTCAACCAACCCTATAACATGCAAAATAGTGAAAAGTGCACAACCCACAAACGTCATATCCACACCCCTCGAGACGACGCGCAAAACACCAAGCGAAAAGCCGCAGCCGTGGTGGTGACCACCCCCGCAACAAAGCCCTTGTTCCTGCTGCTGACGTAGTGTGCTGCCGATGTTCGCCGGCAGTTTGACCGGTAGGAGCGCCATGCTTGTCCCTTCTCACTGGTCAGACAAGACTGCGAAATTCAGTTTCGCCGATGTCCACGGTCGGCGCGTTGGAGGCGGGAGGCGATATCGTATGAGAGAGGATTTGGAGGATGGAATGCCCCGTTGGGTATGCTGGCCGATGCCGAAGTCTCCTGGGTAGGCGAGCGAGCGCATGGGGGGTTGGTGAGAGGGGTAGACTGGGATTTAAAGTGAGCTGACGGCCGGCATGGCGGTTGCTTTGGTGTTTTGTGTCGGTTCCTCTTTCCTCCTCCACCTGGGTACACGCCTTTGGATTGTGGTGCACAAGGCGCCGCTAGTGGCCCATCAGGGTCAGGCTGCGCGATGAAGGCACTACAGGTGATCGCACCCACGTTTTGCTTTTTGCTGCAAGGTTCGTCTTGTACCTGTCGGACTGTCCCCACTGGAAGAGAAGACCCTTTGTTATCATATACGCCTTGGTAATTCATCTCCATCGCGTTCGGAGTTCGTTCGGTCAGACCGGCACACCACCCCAGCTCTTTGGCGTCGCGCCTGTTCCCAGGAAGATGCAGCGTGCATCGAAGCGATCGAAAAATTTGCGCCACCGCGATCCGTTCCTGGACTATCGTCTAGCGGTGTTACCGATCCCGCGATCGCGATCCCGAATCCAGATGTCTACGTTTGGGAGGTCTTCGTAGACCGTATGTGGCGTCTGCAATGGACGATCGGGGTAAAGTATATTCCATGGCATTGCGTATCTGAGTAGGTATACGGTATCTGAACGCTTCAACTCCCGCACCAGGCGAGAAACCGCTATTATTACTCTTCCATCGCGTCTGATTCATCCCCTCACGCGGACCCTATAATGTCTAACCGTAGGTGTATCCCATATTCGGTGCGCCTCCAGGCCCTGGTGCTGTCATCATTGGATTCATAGGGCCAACCGGCACATTGGGCATTTCCGCATTCGAGAATTCAAATCCGGCCGCCCAGTCGTAATCGGGGAATTGATCAAGCATTGGCGGCACTCCATAGTCTGGACCTTCCCAGGCATCGAAGCTCATTACGGACGGGTCCTGTTGCATCTGAGGATTCACCAAGCTAGGGTCGAATTTGGTCACTGGGAGTTGTTGTTGCTGTCTCATCGACGGATCCGGAAGTTGCTGCTGGTGCTGCTGTGGGTGTTGTTGTTGTTGTTGTTGTTGTTGGGATGGGTATTCTGACATGTTTGTTAGTTCAGAGCCCGTCAGACTTGACGTAAGATGCTTACGAGGTGGGTTCTGCTGGGGGTTCTCGTGCGACAGAGTTACTTCGTCGCCGTACGGATTCTTCATGTTGCTGAACTCTTCTCGCCAGTACCAGAACATGTCGTAACTAATGCTCATGCTCAATCGCGTCCTCAGCCTCAGATATAGTGACTCCACACGGCCGTCCTTCTTACGGAACACCTTGTCGCTACCCCACAAATCCTTCATAATGTGCGCAGTTCGGAAATGGATATCTCCTGGTTGTAAAGAGACGTTCTTAAGGAAATCATACGCCTGTGAGAAAGCTCGTTCGCCCGCAAGTACATCCAGATGTTGAGCAAGCGGACTTCGAACGAGTCTAAGGATGGTAAACCCAGCCAGAGTAATAGTTCGGTCAATGAATGATTGCGAGACGGAGGGTAGGAAGATCTTTTGTGTCGTCTGCATCGTCGAAGCGGACTGGATAACTGAGATGCAAAGGGAGTAGAATCGTGAGAGACCCTCGGCATCGGGTCCAGGGTTCGTGGGGTGGGCGAAGAAATGGAACGCCATTACGTGAATACGTGCACAGCTTAGTTGCAGGGTATCTATTTCGTTAGCTCAAGTTTCGAAATGACCGGGTTAGACTTACCGAGTTCACTTGGAGAAGATGGGGCCAAGCTGAGGAGTTGCGAGTCGAATATGCCAATCAATGATCGTAATACACGGACATCACAATGAATAGATTGTAAGTTGGTCTTGCCCATGGCAACCATGGCACGCATGAGGATGATGTAGACTTTATGCAGGAACTGCAGGTCAGACGGGAGGTATGGAACCATGTCTTCACGGTCTTGTTCATCGCCATCGAAGAATGACTCAGCAAGAGGTGGTATACCTTCAACACAGCTCGTTCTAGATACGGTTAGCGTATGTCACAAAGTCACTTCTTTTGGTGACCTCACCTTATGGAAACGATGACGCAACACAGCCAGAGCCTGGCGCGTTGCACCTTGAGCGACTGGTCCTTCTCAAGCGGCGTCCTAGCAAAATCCTGGCCAACACCTGCTATGTGCAGACCAATTTGTGTTGCTAGATGCACTGCCGATCCACACATGAGGTGTGTCGTATCTTTGTACATTGAGTTGGTGGGTAGTCGCCATGTGCACAGAATTAGTAGACCTTGGATGATCGGAACTTGTGAGGTGCGTAGCGCCATTGAAGAGAACGCGAGCTGGGTGATGGGCTGGCTCGTCCTCTCTAGGACTTCGTGTTCAGAGTACCGCCGCGATCCCGTGACCACGATAGTCCAAAACAAGAACGGCGATTGGTCATAATAGTCATTCGGCCCTATTGAAGGGTCCAAGATAGGAAACAGTGGATGGTATTGGGTGAAGTAACTGCAGTCATGTTAGCATAGATAAGAACAACATCCTGCGTCAACGTACATGGTGAAGCAATCGTCAATTCTCTTTGAATCGAGCAGGTAGCCGTCAATCACACGCGGTACCGTGCCATGATGATCGGAACCTTTTCGCGTCGGTGGCCGCGAGTCGAAAGCTGGTGACATGGAGTCTGATGCATCTGTCCTTCCGGAAGGATCAGAATATGTGCCCGAAGCGTGTTCGAGCGGACCGTAGTTTTGCATGTCGACGGTCGGTGATGCTGTCGATTGCGGGTAGTTT